TCTACTGAATAGTAAATAGAATAAAGAGAAAGAATATATAGAAAATCAAGAATATCGGGAAATTGAGATTAAATAAAATGAGTATACAAGAGAAGAAAGCAAAAAAAGACAGAGATGCTTGTGAAACTACCAAAGAGGCACATGGAAAGCAATTGTCGAAAGAAAACCTTAGAGATAGAGATGATCTACAAGATGAGAAGAGAGGAGATAACTCTCGGCTAGAAATCCCATTTTGCATTACAAGGTTGTGCAGAAGATCATGATCCATTGTTGTTTGTAGATCATCTTTCACCTTCAGTTATGTTTGTGAAGAGGTTTATTTACTCTATGTGATCTGTGTTCGTTAATGTTCTTTTTACATTATTATGGTTTTGTTATTCGAATAGATTGTTATTGTCATCGGCTCATGGCTAAGCCTCATTCACATTGTTGTGGTCTAAACATAAGAAAAGTATGACTGTATGACTATGAGTAAGAAATAAGAAACAAATACCCAACTTAATCATAAAATCATTTAACTTGAGTAATTCAAGTTACATGTTATACAAATACATGCAAAAAAAAGGAAGAGTATTGACGTTGTAAAAATCCACAATGATAAGGATTGACTGACTATAAATTTCGTCGCTTTGTTCTTTCAGAATTATGTTACTTATGGTTATAGTTTTTTGCTAATACATTAGAATCGGTAGGATAAATTTATAAAAAGAACTAATCTAATAAAACTGTTAAACATGTAAACTAAATTTATGACATATATATAACTATGCACATAATTATTCAAAGTTTTTATAAAACAAAAACAAAATATGATTTGTTGAAATGTGATTGCACACACTTAGTTTTATATCTCCGACATTATGACATGTTTTGTTTAAAGATGATGATAGTTACTTATACAAAATTAACTTAACTGACAAATAGAAAATTTTTGTTAAACTTTTGTGAATGGAATATTAATTAGCCGTTTATCTCATTTACAAGAGGACTAATTAATCTTCTACTCGGAACTCAACAACTATTTGGTATGATAGTCAAAGATTTTATGCTAGACATATATGATCCCATATGAAGGATTTGAATCCAATCCAAACAAAGAGCTAAAGAGAGTAAACACACCATATTTGAATGGTGCCCATGATCATATATACATCATAAAATCTTTGAGTTTACTTACAATATAACGTCTAAATGTCTAATAAAATAGTAAATTTTTAGTAAATTGATCATGTAATACTTAAGATCCCAATAGACTCTTGAAGCTCCAGTGAAGAAAAAAACAAAACGTATTTATTTTTCAAAAAAAAAAATTATTATTTATATTTGAACATTAAACTAGAGAAAAAAATCAAATAAATTTAAGTGTAAACTCATCGATTATGTTGTTTTATGAAAATATCAAATTTACGTTTTTTATCTAAATATACAGTTTGATGCTAGAGTTTAAGATTTATGTATTGTTTTCAGTAGTTAAATTCATTTATGAGGGTTTAAGTTCTCATGTTAGGGTTTATCACCCTTTAAATTTTCAAAACAATGATGGTGTAATGTTAATGAATAGTTTTAAACGTTAGGACAAAAAAAATAGTAATGAAAAGTATAAATAAATATTGATTTTTAAAATTAGATCTACAAATTGATTAACAAATTAAAATTTATTTATATGGTATAAGTGGCATCATGTTCCTAATTTATAATATCGTTTAGATGTAATAACAACCTAAAGCGTTCAATGTGACATGATTAGTTATATCCGTACGATTAGTACATTAGACATGTGTCTACTTAAATTATATGATTTTTGTTTCAATTTCAAATTAAAAGATACCTATTTTAAAACTTAAATCATATTTTACTGAATAATAAATTATTATCAAAAATTTATACCCGCGCAGAGCGCGGGTACTGCCTAGTTTATACAAAATCAGCATCTTTGTACAAAA